TATACAGAAGTATTATTGCAGCTCTTAGATTTTTAATATAAAATAAGAATATATTTGCGATTTTATTGTTGAAAAGTTGGACACGAGAATTTTTTTGGACACTTTCATTGCTTTACGTTAAATAGAAATATTCAAATCGATTTTTTTAAAGAATACTTTTTAATCATTTTAAGTAATAATAATTGTATATGTGGTTATATACTAAATTCAATTACATTATTTTATATGATGTATATGATTGCAAACGAAGTAGAGAATAGGATGAATATAAATTATGAAAGCTGCCTTGGCTCGTGTCCAGATAATACTATCGTGTATTTTTATTTTTGTATCATATTAAATATGACATCGCGAAGAATAATATTTACAAAGAGAGTAATCTAATTTTTTCTCTAGAAAACTTGATATGCGGGAGGACAAACGTGTATATCTAAGCGTTCTTCCGCGAATAGCTGGGTATATATTATATAAGCGTATTATAAAAAAAGAGCATATATATTTTGCGTACAATGAAAAAAGATTACAAACATCTATTATAATAAGAGTATATACGTTATTTTTTATTTTATTACAAATTATTTATGTTTATGCGTACAATATTATCGAAAAAACTGATAAGCACTAGGGCAGCAGAAAAGAGATTTTTTTGAAGGAAGTTTCGTGTGGCCGTTATGGCATTGTAATTCAGTGTGTTCCGCGTTCTCTTTATTCCAGTTAAATTGAGAAATAGTCACTTGGATAATTTAATATATTTTGCGATGCCGGACAAAACTTTCTCTGGCTTATTGAAGTTGATACTATCATATTGTATTTCAAAAGAGCCACGAGTTTTTCAATTTTTCCAATACCTTTTATGATGCTTCGGAAATCCTAACAGTCTTCCATGTTTTATTGAAAATTCATCTGTCAACCTCTACTAATAGATTAATGTGTGATTCAAATTTTATATTGATTATTGATAGCTTTTCTCATGCTTCCTTGAGAGCTTTTTTGTTCTTCCTTCTACTTATTATTAATAATGTGTGTGTGTGTGTGTGTGTGCGTGCGTGCGTGCGTGCGTGCGTGCGTGCGTGCGTGCGTGCGTG